TGTATCTTAAGAAGGTATGGGGCTCCTGGGTGGCCTAGTGGGTTAAAGCCTCTGCCTTCAGCTCAGGTCATGATCTCAGGGTCCTGGGATCAAGCCCCGCATCAGGCTCTCTGCTCAGCAGGGAGCCTGCTTCCCTTCCTCTCTCTCTGCCTGCCTCTCTGCCTGCTTGTGATCTCTGTCGAATAAATAAATAAAATCTTTAAAAAAAAAAAAAAAAGGTATTTTGGAAGCTCTTGATCTCCCCAAGGGTAGGTTGATGTTCTCTGGGGTCGCTTCCTGAGCCAAAGCAAGGATGGCAGTGGGGGGTGAGGTCCATACGCTTTTGGTGGAACAGATTGAGAGTTTTTGAGTATGCCAACATTTCCAGTTCCTGCTTTGGGACAGCCCCGTGCTTGAGTATGCTTAGGGGACACCTGACCTTCAGGTGGTGACCTTTTGCCTTGATGGGGCCAATACCAGAGCTCTTTCCAACCCAACAGACATGTTTCTCCTGCAGGTCTAGCAATCCGAGCAGAAGGCAGCCGAGTGTATTGTATGTTTGTGTTCCTGGCTGTGCGGGGAAAGTTAATCTCAAAGACTCATTCTACCAGAAAAGATTTTTCCAGAGCTGTTTGAGCAGATATTCATGTGACAAAGTCTGCATCAGGCAGAGAACCAACTCTTTCCAAACACGTATAGGTGGTGTGACTCTCAACCCACAGCTCAGGAGTGGAAGAAATAAGATCTCTCTTCTCCCCTCATTCAAGTTCGTTTCTGGTTTGAGTCCCCGTTCTACCAGGCCCGTGCAATTTGATCTTGGTCAGTTCTGGGACCCCCTTTTCTTCAGTGTGAGTCTTCAGAGGTCCTGCGGGGGCTTACATATCTTTCGAGGTTTGGGGAGGAGGGATCTAGTGCCTGCCAAGGTGTCCTCTGTCCCTGCCCCACTCTGTCTCCCACTCCGCTCCCTCTGGGTCCTGCTTGTGTACTTGGGAGTATGAGAATATCTCAGACATTGCCATGCCCTGGCGGTCTCTCCGCGGCCGTCCCTTTTGACAGCAAAGGTTACAGGTGGAGGGTGATTTAACCTGAAGGAACTGCTGTGTGGCCCAGATGTGTTGGCGTAGGAGCTCACCACCGAAGTGTTTCTGTGTTTCTGTGGCCACGGACACAGGCTCTTTGCTGACAGCTCCCGTCCGCAGGCCCTCAGCTAACTTTTGGGTTAGCCTGTGGCCCTACCTGCCGCGAGCCACCTCCCTGAGGGGTCTCCTCACACCACATCGGGCCCTGCCTTTTACCTCTCAGGGCATTTGGCCAAGTTGACCTGGCTTTTGAAATAACCCTCCCAAGACGCTTAAGTTTTCCTTCCCAGTCCTATCTCACTTCTGACTATCCCTCCTTCCTACACTCCTCCTCCTGCTTTGGAGTGTTGGGGTCTCCAAGCATCCTGCCCAGGGCCACCTTCCCTGACACTCTGCCCCTGGCCATTTCAGGACCTCCGTGATGATTTCATCAGCGGTCGCCCCCACTCTCCCACCCCTCCCACCCCCGTTCAGCTCCCATCCTCCAGTGCCACCGCCCTCCCCTCTGCACTGGCCCATCTTTGCTGCCTGTGCAGCGACTCGTGATGTTGGGGTCCTCCCTCGGGCTGTCTCGCCTCTTCATCCCTGCCCCACTCTGCAGACGGACCACCCCGCCTGCTCCCGGCCTCCATCATCCCAGAGCTCCTCCACCCTCTAGTTCCTCTTATGTGAAGCTGCCCAGAGGCCTCTTCCCACGGCTGGAGACATCAGGTTCTAGCCCACGCCCCACCCCCGCAAGGGGACATGCTCCCCACCTGGCTGGCCTCCTGCTTCTCCTCCGCTTGCCTGGAACCCTTCCGGAAGCTCTGCCAGCCTGGGAACGCAGAGGTGAGAGTCCCCAAGTTTCCCCAGGTATGTACCTGTAGGGGTGAGGTGAGACTGTATGTTCTGGTGCTAATGGAACCCAGCTGATTTGGAGGGGAGGGGTCTGTGGGGTCCAGAACAGGGGCCAGAGCACAGCCGGCTTCTCCAGAACCGGGAGATCCCAGGCCACTCCAAAAGGCCTCAGACCTGTGAGACCTCAGGCTTCCGGGCCCCTGCCCTGGGAGGGAGCCGGCTGTGACTCTGTGCCTGCCTCACGCTTCCCTCGCCACAGCCCCGAGTTTGTGGCCTGTGTGTGCTGGCGGTCTTCAGAGGGTGGTCTGCAGACCAGAGGCTTCGGAGCTACCTGGGGTTTCCAGGCCCTCTCAGAGAAACTTCCTGGATTAGCAGCCCAAAGCTGTCCACAGCCCAGTCCCTGGAACCTGGGACTCTGTGACCTTTCATGGCAGCGGGAACCTCGAAGCTGTGACTCAGGTTACAGAACTCCAGGTGGGGAGACGATCCTGGATTATCGGGGGGGGGGGTGTTGTCTAATCACATCGGTTCTTCAACGCAGAGCACTTTCCCGGCTGATGGCAGGACAGTCGGAGAGTCAGCGGCTGCTGGCTTCAGAGCGGAAGGGAGGCCACCGCCAGGGAACGCCACCAATGTGGAACGCAGGTGCCTCCAGAAACGGGAAGAGGCAGCGAAGCAGCCTCTCCTCTCGAGCCCCCGGAAAGGCACACGACCCCGCTGACACCTTGAGGTCCGCCCCGTGGGGCCCCGGCGGACTTCGCACCTTGAGAACCATAGCTGATGGTCTATGTGAAGTGTCCGGGTCCCTGGGGGCTGCTACGGCGGCAGCAGGAAACCATACGCCCCTCCTGTGAGCTTACGGACCTCAGCATCTCGAAGCTCTGCTGTGTGAATTCATTCGCCTACACGGGCTCACCTGGCGGGTGGTCGTGAGTGGGAAACCGTGTGATCCCAGCACCTGCTGACCCGTCTTGATCCCCTGCTCAGGTTCCGAGAGGGGGCGAAAACTTGTGAGCAGGTAAGTCCGATGGGCTCAGCTCCTCCTTCTCCATGGCAGGGCACCCCCGAGAATGCTGCCCCTGTGGATGGGCGTCCCGGACCAGTTTTGGCCGGAGGACTGGTCCAGGTGGGAACTGTGGCCTCGGTGGGCTGCGCTTGTGGCTAGGGCTGCAGGTGGGCAGGCAGTGGGCGCCGTGGTCGGAGGGGAGGGGGTGGGGCAGGAGGCCGCAGGGCGGACCCTGAAGGATGGGTGTGGGTTTGCCAGGACCTAGGGGCAGGGGACATCCCAGGCACTTCAGTTTCAGCGGGGGCAGCTTGGTCCCAAGGACACACAGCGGAAGGGGCAGGACCGCCCAGGGGACTTCTGCGAGGTCTCTGAGGGTTGAGGACTCTGTCCCCGGTCCCCGGTGGGCTGCGGAAGGGCTGGGGAGCTGGGAAGGCGGGTGGGAGAGGGACCGGGGCCCTTGGGAGAGCACGTTGGGAGGTTGGAAGTTAGGTAATGGGAGGGAACCCTTGTCCCTCTCCTCGGCTCTGAATTCCCTGAGGCCAGAGTTTGGGCTGAATTCAAGGCTTGGCTGGAAGCAGGGGCGAAGGGGGCAATGAGGGAGAGGCGGCTGCAGAGAGGGGGAAGTTCTGCTGCACGGAATACAGTCGGGTGAGGAGCTTTAGTGGCAGGAACTCTCTTAGGAAAAGGATCCTGTCCCTGGAGGCCACTTGACTTTGGCAACCCTTACAAAGCAAATTCTGAGACCTAGCCATGCTTGAGGACATCTCAAGATACTGAAATGTCAATAATTAAAAACAGTACCACACCGCAAAGTATAGGGAAACCTCTGACTTTGCCGTTTTTTTAAAACACCAGATTCTTCCCAGAAAAACGTGCTAAGCTTGTCCCGCCTGAGGCACAGGCCCTCAGCGTGCCTGGGGTTTGGGACTGAGGGCCTGCAGGTGGCTGGCAGCAAGCGTCCCCCGCCATGTGGTGCCCCCCGGGGACCTAGGTGGGGCCGGGCCGGGGCAGCAAAGCTTGGGCTCCGAGGGCAGAGCGCCCACGTGCACACACAGGAACCAGCGTCGGGTTGACACCTCTCGAGGTCGGGGAAGGCAGGACGTGGGACAGACCTGTGGGCGACCTGACAGTGGCCACACACGGGGGTCCAGGCTGCAGCTGCGGAAGAAGGCCCCGATCCCTCCCAGCGGGGCCCCTCGGGCCTGACTCTGAGGTGGAGTTAGCTAAGAAGACTCTGGAAGTAGAAGGGGGTTTTGGTGAATAACTTCTCTGGAAACAAAGGAAGGTCGATACGTCTCGTTCTGTGGAAACCCAGGGTGGCCACGTCAAGGGGGACGCTTCTGAGGTCCGTGGGGATACTCTGGGCCGCCCGAGAAGTGAGCAGACTGTGTTGACCCTGTCCCCTTCCTGAATTCAACACAAAGTGAGAAGGGAAGATCCCAACAGGAGACTTTCGTCCCTACCGGGAACATCACCCCCTCACCCTCAGAATCTGCTTAAGCGGATGTCCATCTGCAATCATCGCGTTAAGAGCTTTAAGGCCCCCCTGTCCCCCACCAGGCAGGGACAGCGTGTTCAGATGTGACGTTTCCTGTCCTCATGAGTGACACTGACGCATTATAAATAGTTCTTTATTATGAGTTTTTATAGTGCTTGATACATAAAATAGATTTCATTTAAAATAGTTAAAATTGTTCCTGGCTGGAAGCAGCTTACTCTGATTCCTGCTAAGATCATGTTCACATTCCAGCCCGTCGAGGCGAGACCCCTGCCGCCCGCGGAAGACCCGGCAGGAGCAGCACGCCGCGGCTTACCCCAGCGGCAGCAGCTCCTTCCCGAGTAAGGGAATGATGCTCGATAATCCTTCGTGAAAAAGGATTCTCCTGCGCCGTAATTCCGTGGGATCTAAGATCCCAGCTCCAGTGTGGCCTGTGGAAGTCACCATCCCTCGACTTCCCGCCCTGATTTTCGGAGCCGCGGCATTCCAGAAGAGCTGCGGACATCCCGCAAAGCCCCCTCGGCTCTCGGGCTGTCGGGGTGTTTCCAGCCCAGGCGCCAGGCCCGTGTCAGCGCATGCAAGTGCGGGGGCCCTGGACGGCGGCAGGGAGCGCTCAGTGGTCCCACTCGCCGCTGGGGCCCTGCTCCTCGCTGTCCTCCTCCTCCGAGTCAGCGGACACTCTCTGGATTCTCTGCAGCGCTGCCTTGATGCTTCTCTCCAGGTCGCTGGCCGGCTTGTTGCTGGGGCTCGGGCTGAGGCCGGAGTGAACCTTCTTCAGCTTGACCCCCTGCCTTATGGCAGCCAGAAGCTGCTCGTTGAAGGAGGCGTGGGGACGGGTCGGAGCGGGTACGTCTGGCCTCTGCAGAGGGCTTCTGCCCCTCCTTAGGGAGGCCAGGACTTCATCCATAGACCCTGAAACGGAGCAGACAGAGCAGGTACGATCAGGAGGCCACACTCTCCCGGCCCAGGACAGTTAGTGACATGATTTCAGCGCGTCTTCGTTCTGTTACGCAGACGCTCTCATTAGCCGCTGGAAAGGTCGTCCCCAGGCACGCTGAGTGCAGGGGAGTCACTCCTCTCCCCCATCCCTCCCTGTCCGCCCCGTCCTCGGAGCCGCCGCCGCCGCTCAGAGACGCGGTCATGCCCACGTGTCCTCACGACGGCTGGGATGAGTGCCCCTCCCCCACCCCGCAGAGGTCTGCCCGGGCGCGCCCCTGCTCCGCGTTCACGCCACGCTGCTGCGAACCCCTGTGCACAGCCCGGGCGGTCTCCATCTGAGAGTGTGGACGTTTTCGTTTGTACGTGCTTCAGGGTACGGCGGGACCGCAGTGTGGAACGATTCTGTTCATACGGCTCATGTCGCCTCCTGCAGAACCCCTGCCCGTCCCAGGTGGAGGGGCTCCAGCGGAGTCTTTGCACCAGATGCACACAGAATTCTGCGGGGACTATCTAACCGCCTCCCCCCGCGAAGCAGCGGCTGAGTCTGGCAGACGGATTTAAGCCCGTCTCCTCGGCAGCCAGTGTATCCGCCGGAACTAGACCTACGGGTCAGAGCGGCAGCCCTCGTTCAAAATACTCACGGGTGTTCGCTGTACTGTACTTGCAAAGGCAAAACGGGGTCTACTGGGGTTTGTTTGACCACTTCCCTTTAGAAAGATCTCCCAAAATACGGCTTCTCAGTCCTCCAGTCTGTAAGAACAGCCTTCTGCCTTCTCCTGTCCCTCTACCATAGTTCCCAAGCCATACTCAGCTGACGTCGTAAAAATTAAACCTGGAAGTGACCCGGAGCAGACTGAACAGCAGGCTTAACTCAACGCAACATGAGAAAAATTCCAGGGGCAGAAACCAAGCGCACGCTCAAGTCTTAAGAACCTGAAACGGGAATCTCTAAGAGCGACCCCAAGCCAGGAGACTATCGAATGTCTAGAGACGGTTTCCTGGCAGTGAGCGGGCGGTCCTGCCTAGCAAACTCCGCTTCAGGCTGGGCTAACTTTGCATTAAGGGAGTGGTGGCTTAAGGCAGCCAACGCTGGAGAGTTTTAAGGCTGCAGAGACTCCTCCAAGAGATCCTGATTTGAGGGTGGTTGCCCCCACCGCGAGCGCGGCCGCCAGCCACAGGGGTCTGGGCGGGACAGATGGCTGCGGTTACCTGGGCCTCCGAAACCCGCTGAGGAGTGACGGGCTCCTGCAGCCCTGGGATCCGACGAGCCCGACGAGTCACACACCAGGGGAAGGGGCCGATCCGCCGTCACCGACGTCCTCCCGGGGGACTTCTGGCGATTGGCGGACTGAGAATACGGAAAGGGCGCAGCAGGGAGGGGAGGCGGGGGCGGTGGTGGTGGGGGAGGCGGGGGCGGTGGTGGGGGCGGTGACAAGTCCTCGCTGGATGGGCAGTGTGTTTGGTCGCCAACGGGAACAGAGCTCTGGACGGTCTTTCCAGAGCCCGGCAGAGCCCCGGGGCTTTGCGTGTGGCTAACTTCAGAGATGGGCGCACCTCCAGCCTCCCTGGAGGACAGGTGGCTCCCGGAGGCCATCGGAGGGGTCTGTGGGGAAGGCCCAGCTGGCAGGTGTGGAGCTGCAGGTTCTGAGCAAGGGGTCTTTAGGACAGAGCCACCTGGACATCTCTGGAAAGGAAACACTGCTGTGAGGCGCTTGCCATGGTGCAAACCGTCGGAATACAGAGCTGCGCGCTCAGTGCGCCAACGTGGACAGGCCTCTGCGGGGATGGTGTCGTGTGTGCGGCGGCTCCCTCTCACTCTGGACAGCCTAGCAAACTTGCTACCAAATCTATTCCTAAGGAATAAGCATCAATTCCCTGGACGTGTAATACCTTCTCTGCAATAAATATGTGAACGCACACACGTCGGTGAAAACATTCCGTTTTAGTATAAAAAATAAGACTCAAAATAACAAGAGACTGTTGGCTGAGAAAATGATGGCGAATCCGTTTAAAGTATGAGTAGCAATGAAAATCGGACAGTACACAAAGTCGGTGAAACAGTCTAAAAAATGCAGATGATACAGTGTTACATTTACAATAACTATGTAAAACACAGCAGTATGAAAAATTCCACCACAGTGGACCTCAAAGTGAGTTTTTATCATGTCTCTTCTCCAATTTTTAGGTTTAAATTTTGTAACTTAAAAATGTAAATTTATATTTTTTTTAAATTTGAGAGATTGAGAGAGCACAGAAGGGGGAAGGACAAAGGGAGCAGGCACCCCGCTGAGCAGGGAGCCGGATGCGGGGGCTGAGATCCCTGAGATCACGACCTGAGCCGAAGGCAGACACTTAACCCACTGAGCCACCCAGGTGCCCCTAAAAATGTAAATTTAAAACATTCTGGTCTCTCGAGTACTACTTTGATAAAGGAAAACATAACCTTATAAAAAAAAAATGAAGCTTGAGTGGTGGGAGCACGGTCCCTAATGAAGGCACTGACTAGCCAGTGAAACGGAAAATGTAAATATGTAGCCAATAGCGTGGACTAGATCTCTATCTATAAACATGGACACATCTCAAAAATGTAATTTAAGTGGAAAAAACCCTGGCAGAGGCTGTATATGATGTGATAATACTAATGTAGACTTCGCAGTAATATACCAAAAGTCCAAAACAAAGAGTACAGGCACACCTCGTCTTACTGCACTTGGCTTTATTTTGCCTTGCAAATACTGTATTTTTTAATAAACTGAAGGTCTGTGGCAACCCTGCATCAAGCAGGTCTCTTGGGGCTGTTTTGCACCAGCATTTGCTCACTTCATGTCTATCACATTTTGACCATTTTTGCAATATTTCACATGTTTTCATCATTAACTTTTCTATGGTGATCTGTGGTCAGTGATCTTTAATGCTACTATTATAGTTATTTTGGGAGGGGCACCTGGGTGGCTCAGTTGGTAAAGCATCTGCCTTCAGCTCAGGTCATGATCTCATGGTCCTGAGATCAAGTCCTGAGTCGGGCTCTCTGCTCAGTGAGGAGTCTGCTTCTCCCTCTCTGTGCTTGTGTTCTCGTGCTCTCTCTCCCCCAAATAAATAAAAATCTTTAAAAACAGTTGTTTTGGGGTGCCCAAACTGTGTCCGTGTAAGACCGTCAACTTCATCGTTGTCTTATTCTAGGAAACTGCCACAGCCAGCCCACCTCTGGCCACCGTGACCCGCCAGCAGCCAGTGACATGGAGGCAAGACCCTCCACCAGCAGAAAGACCACAACTGGCTGAGGCCCGGATGATCACATTTGAGCAATAAAATATTTTTAAATGGAGGTATGTACATTTTTGGAGACCTCATGCTATTAATAGACAACACTAAACAGATGACAGTATAGCATAAACATCGCTTTTATATGCACTGGAACACCAGAAAATTCACCTGCCTCTTTTACTGGGGCGGTCTGACCTCTGCACGGTCTCCCTCCCATGCTTTTCCAAGTCTTTCCACAGCAAACAGCAGAGCGATGGCCGCAAGCCCCAGACCTCACCGATGACTAGCAGTCGCTAGTCATGGAGTGACTGTGTGACACACAGACACAGAACTGGACCCCCAGGAACTCCGGGCCAGACTCTGGGGTCATCTAACCATGCTGATGGCAGGGATGCCTAACCCCCCAGGACCCCCTCCTCAGCATCCCTGCAGCTGCAAGTCACAGTGACCCTGGCCTGCTGAGTTCTGCCTTATGTTACTGGGAGGTCTGTCTCCCCAGGGCTCACCCAAGACAAATTAAGCCCTTGACCTCCAAGTAGCCCCTCAGAAATTTAAAAACAACCTGTCTTGGCTCAACAAGTTATCACGCATCAGGATTCACTTCCTGTCTTCTCATAGTTCCTTCCTTCCTTCCTTTCAAATGTGGTCAAATTGGCTTTGTCCCCTTCGAGGGTGGCACTTCTTGGCAAACATGGGATCCCCTCGTGCTCCAACTCGGTCTTCCCACTTCCAGAGGTGGGTCTGGGCATTCATGACTTTCAATATTCTTTTTTTTTTTAAGATTTTTTTTTTTTATTTATTTGACAGAGAGGTCACAAGTGGGCAGAGAGGCAGGCTGGGGAGGTGGGTGGGAAGCAGGCTCCCCACTGAGCAGAGAGCCCGATGCATGGCTGGATCCCAGGACCCTGAGATCATGACCTGAGCCAAAAGCGGAGGCTTAACCCACTGAGCCACCCAGGCGCCCCATTCGTGACTTAAGCTCCCCAGGTGATTCTGATGCCCAGGCAGGAGAGGGCCTGTTGCAGCTCTGGAGTTCGAGATAGGTGGCTGCATATAAGCCTGGACTAAGTGTGGCCGCTCAGGGTCACATGGTTAAGAGGTAAAGGAGAATGAACGTACGTGTCTAGCACCGGGCCGGTATACGGTAGGTGCTCATTTATGATCAGAGCAGTAAGCACATCAGAAAGCAAGGTGAAGTCAGGATGTCCTGATTTATCAGTCCAGTGGCTCCTTTTCTTGTTGGCATCACAGCACACCTTCAATACCTTATTCCAGAATTCTGTCTGGCTGCAGGCGGTCTCTCCTTGTGGGGGCGGCTACAGACTTGGGTCTTTGTGAAAGTGTGTGTGGTAGATGTGTGATGAGAACAGATGTATGTTTTATACTGCACTAGTTTAACATTGTTTTTAAATAAGTAGCTATTTACCTTCTTTTTAAACCTATTCACTTTTCCCAGAGCACTTCACTATACACTATGTCACTCTGCTCCCTTGCCTGCATTTTAGAGAATTCTTTATCACAGCTGAGGAAACGTGAGCTAAGGTTGAGACCAGTGTAGCCGCCATCCATTTTCCTGGCTGGGCAATGCTACAGCAGGCAGAGTCAACCCCGCGGGCCAGGAGGGGAGAGCAAGAACCCTGGTGCACAGCAATGTCAAACACTTAATATTCTAATATTTTCAGGTGCCCGGCTGGCTCAGTCGGTTAAGCGCCTGCCTTCTGCTGAGGTCATGATCTCAGGGTCCTGGGATCGAGCCCTGTGTTGGGCTCCCTGCTCAGCGGGGAGCCTGCTTCTCCCTCTCCCTCTGCCCCTTCCCCCAATCATGCGTGTGTGCTTGCTCACTCTCTCTCAAATACATAAATAAAATCTTTTGGAAAAATATTCTAATATTTTTGTTTTTTATTTCTACACTAAAAGTAATGGTGTCTGGGGAACGTTTTGTGTTCCCAATGATCTGTTCATAATACTTAACACTTTTCTCCCAGCATGGGTGATCTTCGTTTATTTCTCTAGAAAATGCAGGCGAGGGGACTATTTCTAGAACTTACCTCCTTAAATGCTCTCAGCCGCTGGAGTGTTTTTTTGCGTTCCTGGTTTATCCATTCTTTTTTCTTTTGTTCTTCCTCTTTCATCTTGTCTCTTTTCTGTATATAAAGAAACAGATGTTTGTACATTTCTCCAAATAGAAGTCTTGAGAGAGAAAGGACCAGTGACCGGATGCAAGTGCCTCCCCCAGCCCAAGTCCCAGGCCCCCTCCCCAGACCGCAGGGCTGGACTGCGTGCTCCCCAGGATCAAGCCTGGCGGCCGCCCCCACCCCCCACACCAGGGGAGATCCCCTCTCCGTAGATTTAAGCTAGCGTGTCACGTGATGCGAACATGAGCCGTGTTCTCTGCAGCCACTTACCACCTGGATACGATGATGCTGATGGAAATGTTTCACACTCTCTTCCGCCAGCTGCAGTCGGAGCCGATGGTTCTCTCTGCACTGATCCTGGGAAAACGATACAAGTCACCGGCGCGTGTGCATTGTTGCTGTGGCCGCTAGCAGAGAAGCCTGGCAGAAGGAGGCACTGTGTTTGTGCTGTCGTGGGAGGCAATCGTTCTCGGGGGTTTCTGGTGTGGCTCCGTGGTCCTGCCTCCCCTCAGTCATGGACACGTGCGGACGGGCTACCGATGGGGACTGGCAGCCCCCAGTGGTAAGGACCACAGCTGATTTCGTGCCGGGAAAGATGGAAAAGCAAACCCCCCAAGTGGAAATGAGGGGACACACAGGCAGTCCCCTGTCCTGAATTAGCATGTGTTCTAAGAATCTGTTTCCATGCGACGGTTTTAAACACATCTCCCCATAATGTTACAATAGTAACTTCATGTCCAGACATACCTACACAACCATATCCAACCCACAAATACATGGAAAATTATATTAAAAACTGTATTTTAACTGGGCTTAACCATTCTTAGTATATCACTTTTATGTAATCATGGAGTTTTTAAAAATTAAGAAAAAAATCACTCACCAAATATAGGGAGTGATATGAGCTGAATTTTCTTTTTTTAGATTAAAATTTTTTTTAAGTCATGTCTACACCCAGCATGGGCCTCAAACTCACAACCCCAAGATCAACACTTGATCCCCACTGACTGAGCCAGCCAGGTGCCCCATTATTTCTGATATTCTATAATCGGTAATTTAAAATAAATTTTAGAATATACTATAACTATTATTAGAAGTTTCTTCCTGCCATTATTTTAAAAATAACTGTGTATGTAACAGGCATTCGACACAGTTGTTGAACAGATTAATCAAAAATCTAGACATTACGGTAAATGCTTAGGCCCCAAAAGAAACAGAATCTTTAAAAAAAAAAAAAAAGTAAATATATCTTATTTGAAGCCACTGATAGGTATGTAAGCACATGAAATTAATCACTGTGTTGGCAGAAAGCCCTCCTTTCAACACCTATTTATTTTCCATAGAAGGAGTCCCCGGAAGGGGAAGGGCGGAGAGCGGCTGCCCACGCGCCTACCTGTCTGTTCCTGAGACGGGCTCTCCGGGCGCAGATCCTGCCCCGCTGCGACTCCAGGCGCCCACACTGCCGGCGCAGCTCCTTCACCTCCGCGCTCCGGTCCCCCGGCAGCCCTGCCACGCCGGCGAGCGCTCCCAGCTCCTCTGGGCTTTCACACGGGTCATAATAGACAACCTCCTCCTCTTTATCTAGAAACATATTGATGACGTCTTTAAAACATGGTTGGGTATAAAAAATAACACACAAAAATACTTTAAATGTTAGAAGGTAAAGATGACTTGTGACCCCACCACCTAGGGAGAGCCGCTATTAACATGTGTGTACACACACACACAGCCACACGTATCAACAACACAGGGCTAAGAGGCCATTTTCCATGTGATGGAAACAGCATTTTTTTTTAAAGATTTTATTTATTTATTTGACAGAGATCACAAGCAGGCAGAGAGGCAGGCAGAGAGAGAGGGGGAAGCAGGCTCCCTGCTGAGCAGAGAGCCCGATGTGGGACTCGATCCCAGGACCCTGAGATCATGACCTGAGTTGAAGGCAGAGGCTTTAACACACTGAGCCACCCAGGCGCCCAGAAACAGAATTTTAATGGCAACACAGTGCCCTCTCATTTGAGCATTCTGTACTAGAATATTCCGGGTCCCGTTACTATCTATTTATTTCACACTGATGCACATCTGAACATAAAAACTGTGTATATTTTTATTCTTTCTTTCTTTATTTTAAAGATTTTATTTATTTGACAGAGAGCACAAGTAGGCAGAGCAGCAGGCGGGGCGGAGGGAAGCAGGCTCCCTGCCAAGCAAAATGCCCAATGCGGGGCTCGATCCTAGGATCCCGAGATCACAACCTGAGCCGAAGGCGCCCCTTATTATTCTTTAGAAGAAGAAGTCAGGGCCCTTGATAATCAGCACTCAGTGGCCTCCACAAAGGTAACTACCTTAGACCAGCAGTGTGGCATTTAGGCGCCTTAAAGATATTTAATTATTATATATGTATTTTTTAAAAATACGTGCCACTTATAACAAATCCCAGCCCTACAGAACTGAGTAAAATAGAAAGTGAAATTTTCTTCTTCCTTTCTCCTTCCGTGCTTCCTTTGGAATCCCATTCCCAGAGGAAAACATGATGAACAATTTGGCATACATCTTTATGGATAACTTTTTAAATAGAAATTCCCCCTAGAGGGGCGCCTGGGTGGCTCAGTGGGTAAAAGCCTCTGCCTTCAGCTCAGGTCATGATCCCAGGGTCCTAGGATCGAGCCCCGCATGGGACTCTCTGCTCAGCGGGGAGCTTGTTTCCCCCCCTCTCTCTCTGCCTGCCTCTCTGCCTACTTGTGATCTCTGTCTGTCAAATAAATAAATAAAATCTTAAAAAAAAAAAAATTCCCCCTAGATATGTAAAATGCTCATAAGCTGAAATTACTATAGTTTTTTTAAAAACTAGGATTAAATTAAATGTTTAGATTCAGTACAAAGAAAATAATTATATGGAGGAAATTGAAGGGGAAAAAGACATAAGTAAAAGGAGAGGCATACCATGTTATTGAATGGGAAGATTCAAAATTCAAAGATGATAATTCTCCCCACATTAATCTCTAATTTTAAGCACAGTCCCAATAAAAATTCTAAGGAGTTATGGGTTTTTTGGTTTTGGGGTTTTTTTGGTTCATTTGTTTATTTGGTACTTGCCAAAATGATTCTAAAGTTTGTCTGGAAGAATAAAGGAAGGAGAAGAGTCAGAAAACCTGGGGAAAAGCAGAGTCCTGAGGGAGGTGCTGGCTGTACCAGACACTAGAATGTAGATCCAAGTACAGTAATGAGAACATATGGGACCAGCACCGGAAGCCACTCACAAACTAGCAAAAGGAAAATAATAATGCATAATTAGATAAAAATACATGTAATAATTCTGGACATGAGACCGAAAGCCAGTCAAAGCACCCGGGGAAAATGTTTTCAAAATCAGGGACTGGGACTACCTAGCAATTTGGGGGGAAGGTGAGATTCCTACCTCATACCAAAATTAATTTAACCTGGATTAGAGAGCTAAATGTTTTTTGTTTTTTTTTTTAAATCACAAACATATTCCTGCCTCTCTGCCTACTTGTTATCTCTGTCAAATAAATATAAATAAATAAATAAATAAATAAACAAACAAATCACAAACATACTAAAAGAAAACATCAGCAAAATATTGATATAGTTTGGGGATAAGGAGCACTTTGTCAGGCATAACAACAAACGCAGGAAGACTTTACTGAAAGGAGACAGAGCTACCTAAAAATAAACTATTTCTGCAAGGCAAGAAAAAGCAAATGTCTGCAACACAGGACAGATAATAGTTATAGCCTTCGTGTGGAAAGGGAATGTTCCAAAGAAAAATGGGCAAAGACCAAGGATAGACAGTTAATAAAAGAAATAAAGATGGCTAGTAAACATGCAGAATTGTGCCCACCATGCTTATGATTAACACATGATAAGCACAAGATGCCATTGTCTTCGATCAAGTAGGCCAGAACTTAAAAGAATGGTGTAAGTGCGGGGAAACGCTATTTTCATAATCTACTGGGAGTGTCTTTTTGCACAACCTCAGTCTAGAAAGCCATTATATAGTACGGAATCTGGAAACCAGAAGGTAACAGAAGTGAGGACAAAATGTGAATCGGACGATTACTGTAGTGTTCGCAGGTGTGTGTCCGTGTACAAAGTCTGCACCGTCCTTGACCCAACGATTCCATCTTTGGAAATTTGTTCCAGGAAATAATCTTGGGCGCCGGGATGGCTCAGTCAGTTAAGTGTCTTGCCTTCAGCTCAGGCCATGATCTCGGGGACCTGGGATCAGATCAGTCTGCCAGCTCAGTGGGGAGTCTTCTTCTCCCTCTCCCTCTGCCTGCTGCTCCCCTTGCTTGTGCTCTCTCTCATGCTCTCTCTCTCTCTTTCTCTCTCTCTCTCAAAAAAAAAAAAAATCTATCTCTCTTAAAGGCAAGGATGTGTAAAGGAGGGTTCTTTGCCACACTGCCATTTGCAATAGTGAAAGGCTGGAAATCTTGGTATATCCGTATAATCAAACACTGTGAAGCCATTAAAATGTCTGATGTTTTTCTTACTTACTGCAACAGAAAGATGGTTATTATGTATTAAATGAGAAGAGCTTACTAAACAGGATATGCAGTTTGGGTTTAAAAATTGGTATTTACTTGTGTACATCAGTATACAAACAGGGCTCTCCAGCACACTGTCCTCACTCTGTATCTCTAGGTCATGGGACTGTGGGATAACCAGTCCCTTCTCTGTTTTGCTGTGTGTTTAACTATGACTGTATCACTGGAATAACAAAAATGCTAAAAGGAAACTTTAGGAAATTTCAGTAGATGTTTTAGCCAACTTTAAGAAGTAATAATGTGGCCTCTATTTCCTTGGATGTGTGATTTAAACATTTTAACATAAACATTTAAAGAAAATCTTACCTTTTATAAGCCTTTTAATTGAGTCCAACTGTGTTATAAGCAGTATTTCTTCATATTTTAATATCTCGAATTTAACCTCATACAGTTCTAATTGGACTTCATAATACTGTATTTCTAATTCATCTACAACATCTGTATTTTTTTCTTGATCTGGAAGATCTTCCATCTTGTTTTCATGGAAAAAGTAAGAGCAAGTTAAAATAATTAGTACACTGAAAGCTAATGTTAGATGCATTAGATGAATTTTCTGTTCTCTGCTTAAGACCAAACAGAAAACAGACAGAAGAAACATTCTTCCCTTTCAAGTGACAAAACAAAAATGCCTTATTCAATGTTTGTTACAAATACTTTAACTTACCCTTGAAACATACAAAAACATTCAGGTTTAGAGAAAAATCAATAGCAGTGAGGCATCTGCACTGTTTCGTGCTTCAAACTTTTATCGTTACTGGAAGAAATTTAAATGGCTGTGATCCTAGGAGGAAGGACCTCTGTATTACTCCCGAGTTGTGCTGAAACACTGCTTCATTGATTTAAGTGTAGTACCCACTTCAGTACTGAGCTCAGTGTTATTACCAGGAGCATCTTAGAATATTTCAAAAGCATCTTGACCGAAAGAAGCTGTATGGCCAACCTTCCACAGTCTAAATTTTCAGTGAGTAGAGGATGTTGGAATGAGTGAAGCAAGGAAGGTCTGTTAATAGTGCTTGGAAAGAAAGGTGCTACCTAGAAGTGTGGGCTTTCTTTTCTTTTTCTTTTTTCTTTTCTTATCTTTTCTTTTCTCTCTTTTTTTTTCTTTTCTTTTTCTTTCCCTTTCTTTTTTCTTCCTTTTCTTTCTCTGCCTTTCCTTCCTTCCTTCCTTTCTAGAGAGAGAGTGTGCACAATGCATGTGCGTCAGGCAGGGGCTGGGGCGGTGGGGAGAGGGAATCTTAAGCAGTGTCCACAACCAGTGTGGAGCCCGTCGAGGGGCTCGATCCCATGACCCTAAGATCATAACCTGAGCCAAAACCAAGACACTTAACCAGCGGAACCACTCAGGTGCTCCAAAAGTGTGGGGTTTTTTCCCAACCAGGTTTCATTTATCTTTGTCTTACCTTTCTCTGAATTTCAGCTCTTTTGTGATTTAAACACAATTCTCTCGCTCTCATGAGCTGCAGAGTCTCTCGGGCTAACATCAGCTTGAGTTTTTCTAATCTGGGAGTTGCTGTGGCCCAGGCAGCCTGGCCAAATCTCTTCTTGTCCTGTTCCATTTGTTTCTGCATTCCTGTTGGATTATAATTAACAAAATAAAACATAATTACAACTCATTGAAAAGGGAAAAAGGTATCCTGAGCTAATTGTTTACTGCCTTCCATGTTACTTGCAAAACATCCTAAGAGAAAAATTGTTTTAGTGATTTTTTTATTGTTGCAAAAATAATACATGGACATCAGTATAAAATCTTTAGATACTTTGGGGCTCCTGGCTGGCTCAGTCAGTGGAACATGGGACTCTTGATCTTGGGGTTGTGAGCTCGAGCCCCACATTGAGGTGTAGAGAGTACTTAAAATCTTAACAAAGAATTTCAGATACTTCATTTAAAAATAATAATTATAAATCATGAATTTCGTCTACCTGAGGCAATCTTTCTTACATTTTGGTGCATGTATGTCCAGACTGTTTCTATGTCAAGCTAGACAGACAGTTTGAACCAAAAACAAAAATAAAAACCCCACAAGGGGCACCTGGGTGGCTCAGTCGGTTAAGCATCTGCGTTGGGCTCAAGTCATGATCCCAGGGTCCTGGAACAGAGCCCCGCTTCAGGCTCCCTGCTCAGCAGGGATTCTGCTTCTCCCTCTCCCTCCATCCCTCTCCCTGCTTGTGTTCTCTTTCAAATAGATGAATAAAATCTTTAAAAAAAAAAACCCACAAGATCACCATTCTTCTTTGAAGCTTATTATTTCATTTCACATATTGTGGAACTCTCACCATTCAGAAAAACAGATACAGAGAATCCTACTTCGTGACCACTGACATTTCCCTTGTTGAATGGAACTTAACGAAATGGCACATGTTAGCTTCCTGTCTGGGGCCATCAGCTACCATGACTTACTCCATCAGAAGTCCTTCGTCTGCCCCAGCCACCCGACTGCAGCATTCTTTCGGCCCCATGTCCCTTCCCCTTCCGTCTCTGCTCCAGCCCCCAGGCTCTCCTTAAGTTCCTCACACTTGCCAGCCTCCCTTCAGCCAGAGAACCTGGTGGCTGTCGTTTCTTCTGGAACACTCTTCCCTCACTTTGATGCTCTCTCAACTCCCACTGACCCTTCAGAGATCGGGACAGGCACCACTTCCCAGAGGCCTTCACTGACCTAGTGAAGGAGCCTCGTGCCTCCTGGCAGCTCTCAGAGCCCCGTGCGTCTCTTCTTCATGGAAGAAGATGGCTGCTAGCACCATCTTCCGTGTGTTGGAAGGAATACGTAAGTAGGATCTCTCTCCCCTCACCAGACTGTACAGTGTCTGTTTATACTCATCCTTACGCTGAATCCCCAGCTCCTAGGAAACACAGGGCCTTGTATTCAAGAGGCCTCAAGTGTTTATTGAGTCAAATGAAAATGACACACATAGAATTTTACATTGTTACCTGCTAATGCTTTTACTGTTTCTTTAAAATAATTCACTGTAATGTCCTGAATAGAGACTATGGCTTCTTCAGCCTGTCTGGTCCATTCTTTGGCTTCCTTCTCCAAGGCAACTATCCGCTTAGGACCCAAATTATCCTCATCCAAGGATTTCTACAGAAGATGGGAAAATCGTATTAGAAGAGTAATGCAGAACCAGAGGAAACTGAAAGGAAATTGGCTGCATAGATTATGCCAACTACTTTTATTACTACTACTTAATTAAATTTCCTTCATTCAGCAACTCCTTGCTGAGTATGAAGGAGGCTCTAAGCTAGACACCACCTGGAAGACAAAGGGATACTCTGGGGTATGAAGAAAAAGAAAAACCTACTTTCACCTTGCATTACTAGAATAACACTTTCTAGACAGGAATGCTCTCAAGTTACGTTTCTCTGTTAATACACAATTCTTTTGGGGCACCTGGCTGGCTCAGTTGGTGGAGTGTGTAACTCTTGATCTCAGGGTTGCGAGTGTGAGCCCCACACTGGGTGTAGAGATTAAGTTAAAAATTAAAAAAATTTAGAAAAACCCATTTTTTAAATGGCACCTGTGCTGTTAAGCACAGGGCCCAGTACACAGCATTCAAGTGTTAGCTGTCACTACGGTGTCTTTTAGGGATATGACAGGAAGCTTTTTCAATATGATAATTCTTCTCCGAAGTGCAAAGATAATACATAACCTAAACATAGTAAAATCTAAACATTCATAATTACAGCATATACTCGCAGTCTATTGGCAGCCAATTCTTCTACAAAGCTGTTACTCTAAGAAATACATAGAGGCTGGCCATCAGGGAAATGTAAATCAAAACTCTAGGACATCACCTCACATCCACCAGGATGGCTAAAACCATAAAGACAGTGACAAGTGTTGACAATAATGTGCACAAACTGGAGCCCTCACCGCTGGCAGGAATGTAAAATGGTACGTTTGCATTGGAAAAGTCTGACAGTTCTTTGGAAAGGCTAAATATAGTTACCATATGACCTAGCAATTCTGCTGCTAGGTAAACACCCGAGAGAAACGAACACATATGTCCGCATAGACACTTGTACACAGATGTTCACAGCAGCTTTATTCCTAATATTCAAAAAGTGGAAACTAATTTTCTGAATGGAAGTTTAAATGTCCGCCAAACAAGCCAAAGCTCCACCAGCTCCTGAGTGGGTAAGCAGAGCGCGCATATGCACTATCCAAATGTGATACTACGGCACCAGAGAGAGAAACAAAGTCCTGGTACGTGCACCAGCGTGGATGGACCTTGAAACCATTATGTGACATGAAAAGAGCCAGACACAAATCTGTACCTGATCCCGTACAAGATGAAGTGCCCAGAAGCAGAAAGTAGACTGGTGGCCGCCTAGGATGCAGGGTGGGGGAAGGGAATGGAGAGTGATGCTACTGGGCATGGGTTTTCTTTCCGGGGGTGATGAAAATATTCTGGAGCTAGACAGTGGTGACAGTCGTGCAAATGAATATACTAAAAACCACTGAATTATACACCTTAAGCAGGTGAGTGGTATGGTCTGTGAATTATATCTCAGGGAAGCTGTTAATTAAAGAAAAATATATACAGGAAGAAAAGACTATCCAAATAATAAACTTTCAGAGTAACGAGCAGAACAACTTTCTTTGGAAATCTGAGGGGTATGAGTTTTCTCTAAATAGGATACCATTTCTACAGTCCCAAAGCTTGGCTGGGCATGAGAACATGTGTGGCCGGCCCAGTGCAGGGGGCAGAGATCAAGAGATCTCTCTGATGTCTTCTGACTCCAGCTGGTTGAGACCCAGGAGAAGCTATTTAACCCCTCTGGGCTCTAGGTTCCTTTGTAACACTGACAGGAGAACCCCTGTTCTAACTAAGGTCACTGGATTGTTCCAGAGCTCCAGGAAATAAGAGTGATGGCGACATTTACTAAAGCTTAAATTACTGAATTATGACCCAGGGCCTTACTATTTATATTTTCACCCTGTTTCTTAGAAATCTGCATATGTCCTTAGAGTCTGAAAATAGGCTCAAGTAAATACACATCACATCAAAAACAAGTCATCAGCAAAGAATGTGTTTAACCCTTGAAAAACTGCAAAAATCTTAATGTATTCAGATGACCAATGTAAAATGCCTTCATTTTAAAATTAGTTTTACAAAATAAATTCAGTGTATATATCATACCATCTAAACAGAACGGTGAACCCAAGGCACAAAAACAGACTCAATGTCAAATGGGACTAAAGAAATAATATGTGACGGGGTGCCTGGGTGGCTCAGTGGGTTAAGCCTCTGCCTTCAGCTCAGGTCATGATCCCAGGGTCCTGGGAATCAAGCCCCGAGTCGAGCTCTCTGCTCAGCAGGAACCCTGCTTCCCCCCCCACCCCCCACCCCCGCCTGCCTCTGCCTACTTGTGATCTCTCTCTCTGTCAAATAAATAGGTAAAATCTTTAAAAATAATAAGAATAATATGTGACAAAGGGTAATTTGATAAAATAAAAAATATAAAGAAAACATACCAAAATACTAAGCTTACATAAAGTTGCAACTTCTCTCATATCCCTAAATGGCTTCAGTAAATACTGGAAGAACATAGTTGCCCCCGTAACTAATTCCTGGTATGCGTCATCTTCCTCTCGATAGACGTTCATCAGTGCTACCATGGTCTGAGCTTTCTCATGCCCCTGAAGAACCTAGAAGACAGAAAGTAAATAGAGCTCAAGGAAGGACAGTTATTTATAAGATCAAGCCAAACAAACAAAACTAAAGAAACTTTAATGCCCTGAACTTTAAAATTTGAAATACTGATTAAATATGAAGATGCTATTGTCCTCCGACCAAAAGGCCCCATAAAACAAGAATGGTTAATGAAATCATGCGATATCCATGGTAGAATGTTATTGCTGTAATCATTCATTGGCGTGACACCCTTAACAAGCTCCTTTTAGAAAGCCATTTTAATTTAAAAAGCTCATTCCATAGGCAGCTGAAGGAGATGTAATTAAGAGTTTGCAACGTGGCTGAATTCCTCTCCCACACCCTTCTTCCTCAAAATAATGCGCAGAAAAATCATCCAGATTAAGAACGACCTATGACGAGAACGAGCAAGCAAGAGGACATGTCCAGGGGGTTAGATCACTAAATCTTGGCCACCGTAGTAAACTGTGGATATGCACGTCGTCTTTTTTCTCCCAAACCCTTTTGTGGACTTGCGTTCCTCCTCCCCTTAAATTCTATAAGTTTGTAACTCTAAGAATGAATTGTTCGGCTTCCCAAACGACCTCTTTTAAGCTTAAAATTGCACTCCTGTTGCTAATCCAAATCGGTAAATAAAGCTCACTCCCCTTCGGCTTTCCATCTGACCGAGTCTGCGTCACTTTCCGAACCCTCTCCCCCAGGCCCCTTCAGCGTCTAGAGCAGGGGTCTCCCTTGCTTCCCCAACTCGCAGAACCGGGAAGTGTTTACATCTAGTGCTTGTTGTTTCCCACACGCACTACGGCTGTTTCCGGTTCTGTTTCCGCTATTCTCTGGCAAATCCTGTGAGCACAGCCGGCTCCGCCAGATGCACGGTGACCAGCCGGAGCACGCCGTCCCCCGCCCCGCAACAGGTGTCAGGCACCTGTGCACCTGCGCGCGCCCCGCCCCGTCCCCGCCCACCGTCACCTGGCCGGCCGGGTGGCCGGCCGCCGAGCTCTTGGGAACACTACCCGCCCACCCGCGCCCACCCGCGCCCACCCACAGCGCGCTCAGCCCAGCGGCCCCACCCAGCCGGCGGGAGGGGGCCGGGCGTACCTGGCGCAGGCGCGTGCCCGCCGCCGTCCACCGCGCGCGCAGGGCCCTGTCCCGGAAGTCGCGCAGGCTCTCGCAGTCGGGCGCGCCGCTGTCGGCGGGGAAGAGCGCGTCACGCACCGCCGCCCCGCCGCAGCCGCTCGCCGCCTCGCCCAAGTAGCGCTCCAGGCGCCCGCACAGCTCCTGCAGCGCCGCGTCCCCGGGGCCCGCGCGCGCCGGCCACACCAGCGCCCACAGCCCGAGCCCCAGGCCCCAGGCCCCGCCGGCACGCGCGTCCAGCTCCGGTGGTAGCGGCGGGAAGCAGCGCTCCAGCGGCGGCCACAGCGCCGCCAGCTGCCGGTGCGCGCCGCGGAGCCCGGCGGCCGAGAGCAGGCCCGCCCAGCTCGGGGGAGACGCGGCCGGCTCAGGCTCGGGCCGGCTCCCCTCACGCCGCCGCCGCTGCGCCGTGCGGTCGTGACAGGTCACTGCGAACTTGCCCTCCGCGTCGTTCCAGGCCACGAGGAAGCGCAGCTGGTGCCGCTCGGGCTCGGCGAAGAGGTCGTCGCGGACCGGCACCCAGCCCTCCAAGCTGTCGGGCTGCTCGTCGTCCATGGCCGGCGGCTCAGCGGCCCGAGGACCGGGCTCGCGCGCGCCTGGCCTCCCCGCACCCCCGGGGGCCGGGCGGCATTCTCGCAGGTCCGCGCTCGCGTCAGCGCCCGTCGTGCTCAACCCCCCGGCGCCTCTGATTGGCTGCCAGCGCGAGGGCGGGTTCTCGGCAGCCAATGAGAAACTCAGAAGCTGTCTCGGGCGGGGCCCTGGGCAGCGGTCCCCGTCGCAACCCCGCCCTGGAGCCCCGGAACTTCCACTCTTGCCTCACCGTTTCCACCTTTGTACCTGCTCACGTAGGAAGAGTGTTCCTCACCTGAACGAGCTACCCTCTTAGCCGCCTGCGCTGAACTGCGAGCCTCTTGGGAACGGGGACCGGCCGGGGCGCCACAAGTCCCCGAGGGTTCCTGCGCCCGAGGACGGTGCAGACTTGCTGGACACCAAATGTTAAATCAAACGTAGGAGGTACTGGCTGAGGACGTCGAAGCGCCAGCCAGTGGGTAAAAGCCACACATTTGCCGTTACCGAGTCAGCAGGCTTTCGTGGGGGTGTCAGCTGTGTGCAGGTTCGGGGGCGCACACAGATGTCTCGGTCTTCAAAGCATCCCAGCTCCCAGACGGCATGTGTGCGTGCAGTGCGTTCCTACCCTTCTTTTTACAGCCAACGAGACGGAGACCCGGCAAAGAACAGTGTCCTAACAGACACACAAAGGCTAATAAGACCACCTGGTCCCCCAAGACCTGTTGGAGATGGGGAAATCTCATTTGCACGTGGCAATGGGATGAGACTTGAAGGGAATAAGGCAGCCCGGTCTGCGTCTGGGAAAGGCGCAGTGCGCGCCGCGGGAAACCGTGCAGGTGGGTTTCCTCCTGGGAGTGCACTGGGAGGGCTCAGGGGTGGGGTCCGGGAAAGGCAGGTGGGGGGAGAGGCCCTGGAACCCGCGAGAAGGAGCCCTTCTCTGAGGTTGGGCTCCTGAGGGTTTAGATTCAGGAACCAGGGAAAGAGCTTTTGAAGGTTTGGAGCTGGGAAATCCGGACATCAGATTCGCCCTTGCTGTCATACCCAAAGGAAGCAACCAGAAACCAGGGCCAGACTGGAGCCATGGTTAAGGCATCTCTCCCGCAGAAGATGATCCCAGGGTATCTAGAAACTACTGTGGAATGTAGCTTGAAGTCTGAAGTTGCTTGTCTGAGCGCCCCCCGCCCCCCGACCCCTGTGGAGCCTTGGACTCAGAACTGCTGCTCTTGGCAGTACTCTTGGAGAGAACCTGTTAGTTGAAGGGATTTATTTTTCCCCAAACCATTTTTTAATATATTATCTTAGCTAGTATGATTTACTGATAATTCTTTAAGTCTGTTTTGGTATCTTTTTGTATATTCTTTACAGTATGTCTTTTTACTGTATTTGTTTTAAGTTATTTTATCCTTTCTAGTGGTCTTTCTAATTTATTTACTTTATCAAAATGACACTAGCAGGGACACCTGGGTGGCTCAGTCAGTTTAAGCTCTGCCTTCAGCTCTGGTCATAATATCAGGGTCCTGGGATGGGTGGATTCCTTGCTCAGCAGGGAGCCTGATTCTCCTGCTTGCCACTCCCCCTGCTTGTGCTCTCTCTCTCTCTCTCTGACAAATAAATAAATAAAATCTTTTTACAAAAATGACACTAGCAGGCTTTCAAATTATAAAAGTCATTTCTATTTTTGTGTGAGGGGAGGATGTTTGTAGATTCTTAGAAAAAATAAGGGCAGGTACCCACCAAACCTAATAATTGTTGTTGCTGGCATACACACCTGCTTTATTTTCACTTTACGGTTCTTCTGTAATATTGCCCTTTTTCTAAGCCAAATATCTTATTTTTCAGTAAAAATATTTTTAAAAATTAATAAAAGGTGTATATATAATTGTTATTAAAATAGGTGTAAAATATAAGGAAAAAAGTAAACTACTCGGAAGAATTTAGTACTCTCATTTTGAGTGTACTATTATATACAATATCGTATATTATTATATATCTATAGTACATATTATACTGTGTAGTATATATTTGTTATTTGCAGTATGTTTATATATCTCTATCATATATATACATATCATCTAATATATTGTGATTATGCTGTCATGATATATTGTGGGTATTTTCCACCTACAATATAGGCACCTACATGATTATTAATACTTGCCAATATTGAGTTGACCGTATAGTGATTTAACAAATTCTATATTGTCAGACATAGGTGAATCTCAATTTTCTGCGAGCATACATAAAGTGCTGGTGAACATTCTTGTGCACACATCTTTGCGTAACTTTTTTCTTTAATTTTTTTTACTTTTGATATTTTATTGTGCTTCTAGTATTTTTACGTTATAGATACCTGGCAGTAATGATATCTTTCAAATGACATTTTGACTGAGATTTTAAAAAGCAACAGATGTAAAATTCTGGGATCCAATCACCATAAGCAGACTTTTCAAGGAAGCGGTCCAGAACCCCATTCATGCTCTCAGGAGGGAAACTGGTGAAGCAGTTTCTCTGGGGAACACTGTTGGTGGGCTGCGGGGAGGACTGGAAGTCCTGTCTTCTATCCCCACACCCAGTGAGGGATCTTCCAAGGGACACTTTAGGAAGCTTGCTGTATCTTTCTGCAGATGGCCTGAGGTGAGCAAATTGGCTGCTTTGATGGCAGAGTCCGAGGAAGTGGCAGATTGGGTCCGACTGCCTCCCAGAGTTTGCAGGGACCAAGGATGGGCCTGCCTCCCAAGATCCAGATGTGAGCCAGCGGGAAGACAGAATCAGATCCTGCCTAAGAGAGCCAACTGCACAGGTAAGGAAACCTCATTTGAAAGATCTTGGAAGTGGTCCACCAGGGCCTATAAGGGGAATGTGAGGGACCCCCTGGATAGAGGGGTTCTCAGCCTGGTTGTGGGAGCTCAAGGGAAGGGTCTCCATGATGGGAACTCCAGAGATGTAAACAGCTCCCCAGGAGAGGGTGGAGACAAAGAGGAAAGGAGGACGAACAATAGGGAGCTCTAAGCGCCTGCCAGCCCAGAGAGCCTGAAGCTAGCACCCACTGCGGCATCAGCTCCGTTAGAGGCTGTCTTACTGTCTTGGCCTTTCTGCCCTGGTGTTCCAGCAGCAGCTCAGAGAGGAGGTGTGAGAAGAGGCCAACCTCATTCCTCCTTTCCCAGGGCAGACTTCCAGCTAAAGAGGCCCAGACTGGGTAGGGGAGAAGACTTTGATACTGGCTAAGTGAAGTTTGACTTTTGCATTAGTATTCTGGACGGTGCGCTCAGTTACTGAATGGAGACTATGCCTTCAAATAACCCTAGGACTGAATGTCACCTAAGACAGCGCAGAAAGTCACGGGTCTGCTGGGTTGTTTGTTTGTTTGTTTGTTTTTTTTTTACTGGAAAGGGGAATGGTTTCCACTGTGAGTATATGTGAAAGGAATGGTGGAAGAAAAAAAAGTGAAATTGCATTTGATTCCCTTCAGGGTTGTACTTGTTCAAAACACTTGGGGAAAAGTCCATCAGACCAGGTGGAAGCCACCTGGCTTGAGGATTCTGAGGCCCTCCCTCCCTCTCTGCATGGCTCGCAGCTGCCCCCCTGCCCTCTGCACACGACCAGCCATCCCAGCAGCTCAGGGGAGCTACAGACCTCATATCCTCCCAGTAAATGAAGGAACTCAGGGGACAGCATGTGACCCCTCCTGGTGACACTTGAGCGCTAAGAAGTGCAAGATAGCCGCGGCAGGTCTATATTTGGGCTCTCACACACGACTGTTGCTATTTGCAGTGGGAGCTGGCTCATGTTACCGTCACCTGTCACCTTCCATGCCCCAGTTACAGCCCTTGCTGTAAGTCAGGCAGGGGCAGGCTACGGGGCTCAAACAGGTGACCTGGAGGGAAATCCTTCTCCAGAGGCCTTGGAGGTCAAAGAAGAACCCGTGGACCCTGAAATCAGCAGGCAAGTTTCTGGGTGATCCTATTCTTCTAATGCAAAGGGTATTACTAGGAAGTCAGTTACTTAATGGTGTAATGTTAACGCAATATTGTTCCTTTAGGGAAAGAAGTATCATCCTAAATTGCGGATGTATAAATGGCAGTCAACAGTGGGAATGTTTTCTGTGCCCTCCTGGAGCACGGGCTCGCCTTGACTGAATGCGGTGTTGGTATGGGGTGTGAAAGCCTCTGTGGCTGCTGATTCCTGCAGTGTGCCCTTAAAGTATTTTTAGTGCAGGAGTCCATTTGCTAGAACAGTTTGGAACCTTGTGTAGTGTTCTCCTCCGCTGCGGTGGCAGGCTGATAAACACATTGTATTTTAATCGGCGTGTGTGTCCTGACAAATCATAATTTCATATTTTGATGGAAATATGGAGAAACCGAAGGACAGTCATTTTTCACCTGTTACACATACCCCTCTCCCCACAGAAAGTTTTCAGGTTTGGACTCTGCCTTTGAGAGCTGATTTGAACTATTCATGTCACTGTACAGCCAACGCTTGATAGCAAGTTTCCTTAGTTGTGGCTCGAGAATTGCAAAGGGCTACCTGGGTGGGCTTCTGAAATTACAGGCAAAATTCTGTTGGTGCCCTAGGGGCTCACTTTTAGGGAGAGAATTCACAGCTTTCAATAGATTCCCAGAGGCGCTCGTGCCCCACAGAAGGTTAAAAATCATTTGTATGGGGGGGGGCTTTTCTAATTAATGCAATGGGACACACCTCCCATATAAGACTTCGGCAAAAGCCTTTTTTGTTATTTTGTTTTTTACTGCAGTCCTATGGCCTAGAGTAGAAGCTATCTAGCTACTATATTTTTTATAGGCTGTGACCTATTTATTTCTCTAAGGCTCAGTTTCATCACTTATAAAATGACAAATTCTTTTTTTTTTTTTTAAGATTTCATGTATTTATTTGACAGAGATCACAAGTAGGCAGAGAGTCAGGCAGAGAGAGAGGAGGAAGCAGGCTCTCTTCTGAGCAGAGAGCCTGATGCGGGGCTCGATCCCAGGACCCTGGGATCATGACCCGAGCCGAAAGCAGAGGGTTTAACCCACTGAGCCACCCAGGCGCCCCTAAAATGACAAATTCTTGTTAATCGTCCTTTCTCCCCCAATTCTGAATGTTTTGGTAAGGCGCTGAAGGAGTCCAGACGCTGAGGCGGAATGGGCACGGCCGCTCTGCGGGGGTGTTGCAAACCTCCCATCTCCGTGCTGAGTACCCAGACCAGTTTGTTTGTCTGTCCAAAGGGGAAACGCAGGCCTGGAAGAATCTGTGCTCGTTAGATTTGTTCTTGATGTTTCCCAGCCTTCTCGATTGCATAACAGTTCAATTTGGTGTTTCACTCTCCAGCTTCCGGTTGAAAGAATTGGTCAGCATGATTTATTGGTAATATGGAATTCTGGTTTTCTCCCTTTTGGTAGCGCACAGAAGCGTGTTCTTTTTAGCAGGCTGCTCTGGGGTCTGGAGGTGATATGGTTTCGTGGAGAGCTGGGTCCGGGGCCAGCTCTTCACCTGCTGTCCGAGGGCCCCTCCGTCCCTAGAGTTCCACACGTCTGCCCGGGCTCCCCAGAAGCTCTTGCCGTGAGGACCGGTGACCTCCCAGCCGACGTCTGGGCCTGGGTGTGAGGCTCTTCTGTCCTGGTGCCTCCTCCAGACTTCAGTTGTTTTCAGGGGAGACAATGACCCCACAGCGGCCACCGGTGGCTCCTCCTCGTGATGGCCACTGTGAGTCTTCACGTTCTGACCCTGGTCCTCACCCTTCATGAGCGCCCCAGAGGGAGAGGCTGAGGTCCAGGCAGTGACTCTAGCAGCCACCCCCACACTCATGACAGCACCGGATGCGGCCTGAGGGCTCACGTTGAGCCATGTGCTGTGCTAAGCATTTTACACAATGTTCTATTATTGCACCCAAAAGAATTTCGCATACATCATGTTATTTTATCTAAATGCTAACTTCATGAGGCAGGAACGAGCAAAAACCCATCACGTGGGCTCATGAAAGCAAGGCCCAGAGAGGTGGTTTTTCCCAAGGCTACGGCACTAAGAAGTAGCCGAAACCAAAGGCAAACAGAGCTTTCTAATCGAGAGGGCAGTGGCCTCAGCGGTGAAGGTGGTGTGTGTGGGGGGTTATCTGGAGATTGAGTTGACAGACCCGGAATCAGCACTATTCGGGCATCAGTCACATGGGTGATGGCAAGGATGAGCTCCCAGCTCTGGTTTGGGTGAGAGGGAGGGGGTGTTGTGCTATGTATCAGTGGATGTTAGGAACGCGGTGGCCCTCTTGAGGATGTGACGGGAGTCGGCCGTGGTGGAGGGGCGGTGAGGTGGAGAAGGGTGGGCCGCTCTCAGCAGGAAGAGCAGCCCCAGCCAAGACCTCAGGCAAGACTTGGCAAGGGACAGGGAGCCCTGGGCTCCGTCAGAAAGAACAGTGGTGTCCACTGGAGAAGGTGACGCTGTTTGGGGGGGTGGCGCTAGGGCAGAAGGGGTGGGTGCCCGGTGTCCATGGGAGTTGATGGAGACTTGCCAGTCATGGAGCCCTCAGAATGCAGGGCCTGTGGCCAGCAGACAGTAGAAACAAGATGGTTTTAAGAAATCTCTGCCTGCAAGGTGTCAGTCAGGTGTGGCCCCGAGCACTGGGGCCGTATTAGCTTATTTAATCCTCACGACAAGTCCTCTCCACTTACAGACGAAGAAGTTGGCTCGGGGCCACTGAGACAGGTGGTCAAGGTCATGCAGTGAGAACATCACTGACCCCAGAAGCCAGGCTCCTCTTTGCCCCACGCTGCTTCCGCCAAAGCCGTCCCCGCCTTCGAGCGCTTCCCCTGCTGGGAGCTGGGCTGGGCCTTCCCTGGTTCCGTGTCTGCGTCAGTGATGCTGCGGGTCAGAGCCCCCCAGACCTCTGTGTCCTGCAGCAGCAACAGACGTTCCCCGTGTTTCCGCCGCTTTGCTGAGACACACTTGACATCCGACACTGGGCGGGTGTAAGGGCTACCCTGGGATGGTGTGACACAGGACCACACTGTGAGACCGTGACCCCGACAAGGTCGTTCACCGTAGGGTCCCTCACTCACATCATTACCTTTTACGGCCTGTGGTGAGAACACTGAGTGTACAGTGAGGCCTCGTTAACCACCGTCGCCGCACTGACCACTTACTCATCTTGTCACTGTCAGTCTGTACCCCTCGACCAGCATCTCCCTGTGTCCCCCCTCGCCAGCCGCTCAGCCACCGTTCCAGCCTCTGTTCCCGTGAGCTCAGCTTGCTCGGGTTCCACGTCCGTGAGGGAGACCATACAGCCTCGGTCCTTCTCTGCTGACTCGTCTCACTTAGCGTAACGCCCTCCAAGTCCACCGGGTTGTTGGAAACGGCAGGACTTCCCTCCTCCTTTCTTTCTTTCTTTTTTTTTTTTCCTAAAGATTTTATTTCTTTATTGAGGGAGAGAGAATGACAGAGCAGGAGCATGAGAAGTGAGATATCAGAGGGAGAAATAGACTCCCCGCTGAGCAGGGAACCCGATGGGGGCCTCGATCCTGGGACTCCAGGATCATGACCTGAGCCAAAGGCAGTCGCCTAACCAACGGAGCCACCCAGGCGCCCCAGGACTTCCTCCTTTCTTACGGCTGAGTAGTACTCCGTGGTTTACCTTCTTTATCCATCCATTTGTTGATGGACACTTCAGTTGTTTCTGTCTTGGCTACTGTGAATAATGCTCCAATGACCACAGGAGTAAAGATCTCCCTTTGAGATCCTGATTTCATTTCGCTCACACATATGGTAGTTTTGTTCTTAATTTTTTGAAGAATTTCCATACTGTTTTCCATAACAGCTGTACCAATTTACATTTCCAACAGTGAACAAGAGTTCCCTTTTCCCACATCCTCACCAACGCTTGTTATCTCTTGTCTTTCAGGGCTGACATTCTTTTTTTTTTTTTTTAAGATTTTATTTATTTATTTGACAGAGATCACAAGTAGGCAGAGAGGCAAGCAGAGAGAGGGGAGGAAGCAGACTCCCTGCTGAGCAGCGAGCCCGATTCCGGGGCTCAATCCCAGGACCTGTGCTGAAAGGCAGAAGCTTTAACCCACTGAGCCACACAGGAGCCCCCAGGACTGCCATTCTAACAGGTGTGAGGTGCTATGTCATTGTGGGTTTTCAGGGGTTTTGTTTTGTTTTGTTTGTTTTTAGGTAAGTTCCATGCCCAGCATGGAGCCCAGCATGGGACTTGAACTCATAACCCTGAGATCAAAACCTGAGCTGAGGGGCACCTGGGTGGCTCAGTGGGTTAAAGCCTCTGCCTTCGGCTCAGGTCATGATCTTAGGGTCCTGGGATTGAGCCCTGCATCAGGCTTTCTGCTCGGCAGGGAGCCTGCTTCCCCCTCTCTCTCTGCCTGCCTCTCTGCCTACTTGTGATCTCTGTCTGTCAAATTAAAAAAAAAAAAAACAACACCTGAGCTGAGATCAAGAGTCGAATGCTAAACTGACTGAGTGACCCAGCCATCCCCTCACTGTGGTTTGACTTGCATGTCCCTGACAATGAGTGATGGTGAGTGTCTTTTCATGTGTCTGCTGGCCATGTGGATGTCAGAACAGTGTTATGTCCTCTGTCCATTTTTAATCAGATTATTGGGGTTTTTTTGCTATTGTGTTGTACAAGTTCCTTACATATTTTGGATATCAACTATCATGTAAATAGTTTGCAAATATTTTCTCCTAGTTGCCTTTTCATTTGTTGATTGTTTCTTTTGCAGTGGAGTTATTTTTAGTTCGATGGTCTCCCGCGTGTTTATTTTTGCTCTCATGGCTTGTCTTTTTGGTGTCACACCCAGAGCGTTGTTGCCAAGACTGATGTCGAGGACCTTTTTCCCTTGTTTTCTTCTAGGAGTTCTTTGGTTTCATATCTTACATTTAAGCCTTTAATCTACATCTTGAGTTAATTTGGGGAAGGTTAATGTAGGTTAAAATAGGGG